CAAGTTTAAAAACTATTTCTGGCACAAAAAGCAATTCTGAAAGGCCCATACCTTGTGATTGGCAGGATGGTGGGAGGCTTACAGGTGGTCCTGTTTCCCTGGCCCTGTTTATTGCTTGGATGGGGGTGTGATGCGGGAGTACGACTTTTATAATTAGCCAAAACAATAACACTTGTTCGAAAGAGAACCCGGGTGAGGCAGAGGAGCTGGAGATGAAGGAGGTGGGCAGGAAGTGGGAAGGATGGATGGAGCAGAGGACCAGACAGTCCCTGGAGGGAGTGGGAGGGAGGCCTGGGGTGAGGAGGAGGCAGGGGGTGGGCTGAGTGCCAAGGCCCCTGCGGGACACACTGGAAAGAGAGAGGGTGGGGGGAAGGAGGCCTGGTGACCGAGAAGAGAGCATGGGGAGAAAGGATGGCCCCCAGCCCACCGCCCCTGCCCCTGGGGCAGAATCCACTGGTTGATCTTTCTAGAACCCTATTTTACCACACCGCTAGTCTCAGGGAAGTCTCCTTCAGGAACTGCCTCCCCACCCCAAACTGCAGCATGATTCCCCACCCCCATCTGAAATTAAAACTGTATCTCCCCACCCCTGCATGGGTTGGTAATTTTCTATGCCCGACTGACTCCAGGGGAGAGCAATCCTCCGGGGCACAGCCTTTAATAACTTCTGCTGCCCAAGGAACCCACTGCAAGGCCTGAGTCTGCAAGAGGGTATCTGCATGCACACGCCTGCGGAATGCCTACCTCGGGGTCCATCGTGCCTAGTCAGCCCGCCCAGACGTGGTACCTAAGCCTTGGGTTTCAGTGCCTTGGGCCCAGGTCACCACGCACCAGTACAGACTAAGCCCTCAGGGTTCCACCCAACCTCCTGGATAGCAGAGGATAGAGACAACATGCTCAGAACATTCCACCTGACCTGGCTCAGGTTCCTATAAGGACTTCACACACACACACACACACACACACACACACACACACACACACACACACGACTTACACAGTGAGATTCCCAGTCTTTCCATCCCAAACCCTCTGTATCGTGATTTCTTTGGCAATTACCAAGATCTTTTTAATTATGGAATTAGCTGCATTCGCGTGTTGGGAAACAACACATAACTCTCATTCCTCCTGGGATGCTCTAGAAAGGGCCAATAGAGTTTGCCCGCAGAGGAGGGATCCTGACCCAAGTAGCCTCATCCTCTCTAGTCTCCAGCCCCACCTCCCTGCTGGTTGGTTGCCCAGCTCAGACTCCATCTGCCCCAGGCAAGCACTGTCAGAATGGGAGTGAACTTAGACCCAGATCTCAGCTCTAACAAGTTGTTTGACCTCTAAGCCCCATCTGTGAAATGGGTGCAGTAAGAGACCACACCTCCCACTGAGAGGTCAGTCTGAAACTGCAGAGTGAATGCAGCAGGGGATAGACCTCGTCTCCAAAGCATGGGTCCTGTGCAGAGCCAGTTCAAAGCCGAGCCAGCGTCCGCCCAGGACTGCCAAGCAGCAACCAAGGACTTTGGGATGTTACCTTGCCGCCACCTGCTGGCCACTGCCAGCCTCACAGCTACCCCTCCATTGGCCACCAGAGGAGCAGCCCTAACACAAGGGTCCTCCCTGGTCCTCCCTGCAATATTCAGGCTGAGCAGGACCCTTAGGGAACCAGTCTTTCATCAGGGATATGTGACAGATGTCCACACTGCAGAGGAACCCCCAGTATTGCAGACAGCTCGTGGCCAAGCTGTGTTAGAACCAGAGCTTGCTCATCTCTTCCCTCTGGTAGGGATGCTAAGAGATACAAAAGCTACATTCCAATGCTTGGTTCTGCAGACTTTCAGAGGAAACTTCCAGAAGCGGACCAGAGTCAGGAATGGAGGTGGGTAGTGGTGTCAGAGCGTTGAGCCAGGGAGCAGAAGAGGGGAATCAAACCTAGAAAGCAGCACCCAGGAAGCAGGAGGGCCGTGTGCTCACTGTGGGCACGTGGGACTCTATCACTCTAGGGAGACCAGAAAGCAGCGGAGACACCCCTTGGGGCTGGGATGCAGCTCAGCTGACGTAGTACTTGCCTGACACACATGAAGCCCAGGGTTCAGCCCCTAGAAGTACATTAAATTGGGCATGGTGGCACATGCGTATAACCCCAGCACCGGATGATCAGAGGTCCAAATCCATCCTCTGCTATATGGTGAGTTTCAGGCCAGCCTGGGCCGTATAAGACCCTGTCTCAACTCGGTTGGACTGAGAGTATGGTCTCCCAGACACTAACTCTCCCAGCTGTCCCCAGCCTGGCCTACAGCCACAGCAGGCGAGTATTCAGGACAGGGGAAGCCCCAGGCATCGATCCCGAAGCCAACAGGAAACCCACTGTCTAGTCAGCAGAGTGAGCGCCAAGGGCAGCTGTTCTCGAAGTACGTTCTCTGATCCTGTAGCATCAGGACCACCTGGGAAACTTGCTAGAAATGCAAATTCTTGATCTTGGTCCCAGATCTGAACCAGAAACATGCCAGGTAGGGCCCAGCAATCTGTCGCTCTGCAAACCTCACAGTTGGTCACTGTGTCCCTTCAAATCCAAGAACCTCTAACCTAGAGGAGAGCAACTATCACCTGCCATAAGAATGTGGCACCTGCCCTCCATCAGGTAAAGAAACTGGGAAGTGAAGGGGTGGCAGTGACTCGCCCAAGGTTACTTGGGTGGGTAACAGGTGGCAGATGGGTCTTTTGCCTCTATCCAACACCATGGAAGTCAGTGCCACTAACATTTGAGCTCTAGGCAGGGAAAGAGGATTAGGTCCCAGAGTTCCCCTCCCCCATCTGCTTTCTAAACTGGAGCTTCCACCTGGTGCCTCCAAATGGTCCTGGAAGCTCTTCCGGGAAGACTGCCAAAGCCAGGTGTCCTTCTCTTGGCTTTCAGCGACACCCCCCATGCCCAGCCTCCATCATCAGGACCAGCCATTGCCATCCCCACCCTCCAAGCAGTGGGATCTCCAGGAGGATCCACAACTGTCTGAGACCCATGAGTTAAACCTCAGTGGGAGTCTGCAGGAGTCTTTCTGAGGCGCTTCCTGGGCATGACTCTTCCTCGCCTCCCCCCTCCTTGTCCCCCAGGCTCCTCGGCTCCCACTCCATCTGCCGCTCCTCCTGGCTAGGCTCCTCCTCAGTTGGCACAGCAGGAAAAGAGAACAGGATGGTCTATTTTTATCCTGAGATGCTGTGGTGGGGCAGGAGAGGGCGCCATCTGACTGGGAAGCATGGGGAAGATCAGAAGGAAGTGAGGACCTAGGATCTCCCTGGAAACTGTTGTCCAGGGTGGCTAGGTTCTGGTAGGCAGACAGGCAGATCTCGGAGCAGCTTGGAATCGAGAGTGAGGGCTAATGGGCCACTGCACACCACTGTGTCACCGTTGGCAAATACCTCCCCCTCTCTGTACCCATTCCGGCCCCTGCAAAACGGGGAGGGCCACAGACCCTGCGTGCCCTGGAAGGCTGCTTCTGTGAACCTGAAGCCTTGCAAATTCACTGATGAATGTGAGCACACAGGCAAATTCCCTGGAGGCACAGCAGTCTGGGGACATTTTTTTTTTTCCCCTGAGGCTGGGTTTCTCTGTGTAGCCCTGGCTGCTGTCCTGGAACTCCCTCTGTAGATCAGGCTGGCTTCAAACTCACAGAGACCCACCTGCCTCTGCCTCCCAAGTGCTGGGATTAAAGACGTGCACCACAACCGCCTGGCAATCTGGGTACACTCCTACTTGAGCTCAGAAAATACCCTAATTCTTGTAGTCTAATAGCAAATTAAATATCTCATCGCCCGGCATGTCTACCATTAGTCTCCTTTTGTACATGTTTGATGATTTTTTTTAAATTATGTAAGCACTGTGTGAATCTACTGTCCTTCTGGAAAAATAATGAAACATTATGGGAAACCTAACATACATACCCACAAACCTGCCACCAGACCTCATCACTCTTTAAAAAAGAAAAATTAGTTCATTTATATTATGTGTACAAGTGTTTTGCCTGTGTGGTATGTATGTGTATCACACATGTTCAGTGTCGGTAGATGTCGGAAGAGGGCATCAGATCCCCTGAAACTGGATGGCTTGTGAGCCTCTATGTGGGTGCCAGACACCAAGGCAAGACCCTCTGCAGGAGCTGCTGCTCCTAACCACTGAGCCACCTCTCCAGACCCACTCTTGCAGTTTGGGTTTCCAGTGCTTCATTTGGAATCTTTGTTTTACCCACACGTGTAATGTGTCCCATTCACAGTATCATAGCTTTCTTTCTGCATCTATAGATACCGTACTCAAGTACAATGTACAGTCTGCTTACACACCGCCAGATAGTATATAGATACTGCTTAAGGGTGTGTGAGGGCTTTGTGTGCTTCATTCCGGTTGTTGGGAGGAGTTGTTCTTTAGTGTTTATTGGTTTAGTTTTGGTTTTAATTTTTTTGAGACAGGTTTTATTTGTGTAGCCCTGGGTGTCCAGGAACTCACTCTGTAGACCAGGCTGGCCTTGAACTCACAGACATCCACCTGCCTCTGAGTCTCTAGTGATGGGATTAAAGGCGTGTGCCACCACCACCCAGCACATGTTTGTTTTTGAGACAGTATCATGTAGCCTTGAATCCACTATGTATTCAAGACTGGCCTTGATCTCCTGGTCTTCCTGCCTCTTCCTCCTGAGTGCTGGGATTACAGGCATGAACCACCACACCCATCTTAGGATATGCACGTACACACACATGCATGCATGCATGACCATGTAGCACAGAGTGCCTGTGGCGGTCAAATGTCAGCCCTCTGAATTTGGTTATCTCCTTTTACCATGTAGTCCCAGGGATTCAAATCAGGTAATCAGGCTTTGGTGGCAAGCGCCTTTACCCACAAAAGCCCTCTTACCTGCCTGGGTATGTTTTTAAAAGCCATTTCTCCACCCATCATTCCACTGCCTGTTTTTGTTGGTTTTTTTTTTTTTTTGGTCCCGCCTACTAGCATTTCTGAGATCCTGTAATATAAATATATTACAGATTTATTTAGCCAGTCCCTGCGGATGGGCAATCAGGTGCCTTCTAACAGCACAAGCCACAGAGCCACAGACTCTGGAGTCCACCACTCCTTACAGTAGTGAAAGCTGCCACGATACACTCCGGGTCCTGCACTGCTGCACTCTGTGGATATCACTGTGGACCCTGGATGCCAGAGCTTTCCCTCCATCTTCAGAAACAAGTCGAGGGAGACGCCGCCGCCGCCGACGCCACCGCGACCACAGCGGGGCAGGCACGAGAGTTCACCGCAGCGGGCTGCGTCTTCGCTCCTCTCAAACCTCAAATGTCAGCAGCCGTCTGAGCCAGGCCCTTGCCGTTGCCCCTGCAACAGCTCCAGGATCTCAGACCAGGTGCTTCACGTCCATGCTGCCCGTCAGCTGCCTCTCCTGCACCGAAATGCGGCTCTCCTTGCCATCCTCCTGTGCGACAGGCTGACACCCATGCAGGGTCTCCTGCACTGGAGCAGTGTCTATCTCCACAGGACCTTTCCATTCATCCGTGGGTGGGGCCTGGGGAGTCAGGGTGTGAGATCCAAGGTCACCGCTAGCCACAGGGCTATCCTGCCTCCAAGTCCCTTCCCCTTATGTTTGTGTGTTGGGGGGAGGGGTATCGAAGCTGATTTCTTGGATACCTTCTGCCCCCTGCTGGAAACATGATATTTGGCAAGGAACTTGCAGAGTCAGAGCCAGCTAGCGGAAGAAGCTGCCCCTCTGGTTCCACCTACTGGTCCCTAAAAAAGGCGGGACTTCCCTAAGTTCAATGCCGGAGGGAAGCACGGGCAGGGTTACTCTGCCCATGGTGCCCAGCTCCTCCCAGTGGGGAAGTGACTGGGTTGGAGGAAGGAATAAAGACCGTGATTCAGGGCTGGGTAGGGGTAAGTGTGGCCGACTGTCACCTTACTGGTCCCAGGGACAAACCCTGAGCCTGTTTTCCTGTGTGTGTGTGTGTGTGTGTGTGTGTGTGTGTGTGTGTGTGTGTGCTGGCACACGCACATGTACACGTGGAGTGTGGCACTGGGTGTATGTGCACGTGCCCATATATGCACTCATGGCGGCCAGAGGTCGATGTCACGCTCCACCATTTTTGCTGAGTCAGTCTGCCAGCACTGGTGTTATAGGCTTTTTTCATAGGTATTGGATCCCGATTCGGGTTCCTGTGCTTACGGAGCAAGCACTTTGCCCAGTGAGTAGTCATCTGTCTCCCTGCACCATGAGCTTCCCTACCTGCCCACTCTTCCCAGCGTCTCTCCCTCGAGGATGGCTTACCTTATTATCCTCTGGTTCCTTGATCACCTTTTCTAGAAAGGAAAAGAAGGGGTGGGACCATTGGGAGGGCAGGGCAGGGTCAACCACCAGCTGCTTCTGCCCAGCTGAGCCCTCCCTCCCTTTCTCCACGTGGGCACTCACTGATGCAGAAATACAAGGGCACGAAGACGGTGATGAGGACGGCCATCACGAGGGGAATGACCAGTAGGGCTCGCATCCGGGGCTGCAAACCTGAAGAAACAGTCCTGAGTGGAGCCACTGGCTCTTGTCCAAAGCAGCTGCATCCTCTAGCATCTGGACCTTGTGATGTCAGAGCTTTCAAGCAGTAGCATTGTGGGTAACGTTGCCATTAGGGGACCTTTTTAAAAGCTTTGTGGTATTTGCCAATGTTTATGAATTGAGAGATTCCATATTGGGGCAGGAGGGGGGATATAGTGTTCATGGGTCTGGTATATGTGCAGGTCTGTGCATCTGTGCACACATTCAGAGGCCAGAGAAGGATGTGGGTTCCTACTCTGTCACATGTCACCTTCTTCTACTGAGACAGAGTCTCTCACTGAGCCTGGAGCTAGTCTAGCAGCCCACAAGCTACAGCAGTATCTCCTTCTCAGTGCCCCCTTCCCCCCATAGCAGTGGAGTCACAATCACACGTGGCCAAGCCTAGCTCATGCTTGCACAATAAACACTCTTACCCTTCAAACCATCTCTCTAGCCCAGGGAGATTCCAGTTGGGAGGATCAGCCCCAGTGAGGCAACTTCCCACCTGGCATTCAGCAGCTGTGTGGTGAAGGGAAAGCCCGCCCGCCCGCCCGCCCGCCTGTTTCTCACACTCCCTGCTCTCTTTCCTAGGCTGCGGCTGTTCAGCTCCAGTGTCTGCACTGTGCAAGTGTGGAGGGGAGAAATAAAGTATCTCTTGTCTAAATCGCTACTCTAAGTAACAAAGAAAAAAGACCAAAAGGCAGGTGGCCTCAGAGGCAAGGGGTGCAACCCCTTCCCCACAAAAATTAAGGAGATGCAAACAAACCCAATCATCAAGGTTAAGTCATCTTTGAGACAGGGTCTCACTAAGTGGCTCAGGCTGGCCTTGAACTTGGGGTTCTCATGCCTCAGCCCCCCGAGTGCTGAGACTGTAGGTCTGTACCACCACACCCACCTGAGAGGTAGGGAGGCAAACACCAACAGAACAAACACTGGCCCACCTGGCTTTTAAACTTGTATTGGAACCAGAGCCAGAATTAGAATGACGCACGCAGGGTCACGCATCTGGCAAGTGTAGTGGGTAGCTGTTCCAGCTTTGACCTGGAAGGACTACCCCCACTGAGGCTTCGGTGACTGTCATGCCTACAAGGCAGGGCCGAGACAGGAGCCCTTAAGACCCAAGATCCGGATGTGCTGGCTCTCTTGGTTCCTGGATCTTGGACGCTGAAGGTAGACTGAGCAGAGTTCTCCAGAGAACACCTCCGGACTGCGCTACACCTTTCCCAGACCCTGTAACCTATCCCTTCACTTGTAAGTTACCCCATAAAATAAACCTCCCTTTTAACTACGTGGAGTTGCCTTAATACTACAACCAATAGGTAAGGCCATCTCCTACTTGATTTTAAAATTTGCTCTTTTGTTAATTGCAAGTTTTTTTCCTTTAACATTTGGTTTTTTATTTATCTATTTATTTATTTATTTGTTTATTTATTTATTTGAGACAGGGTTTCTCTGTGTAGCTTTATGCCTTTCCTGGAACTCACTTTGTAGACCAGGCTGGCCTGGAACTCACAGAGATCTGCCTGCCTCTGCCTCCCGAGTGATGGGATTAAAGGCTGAGGGCTGGGATTAAAGGCGTGCGCCACCACCGCCCAGCTGTTTTTTTTATTTTTTCTAATATCATTTCAAAATGTTTTTCCTCTTGCTTACTGTCATTTTACAGTAGTTTGCTTACATGTTATATGTGAGCTCAAGTGCTTTTCTCACTCCATTCTAGTCACATCTTTCCAAGAGAACAAAGTCAATCTTGAGAAAAAGCAAAGAGACTGCATTTTTATTTTTATTTTCCTTTTTGGCACTGGGGGTCTAACCCAGGACCTCACACAGCTAGACTAGCATGGGGGTCTAACCCAGGACCTCATATAGCTAAACAAGTGTGGGAACCTGAGTCGTCAGGATTTCGGGACAAGAGTTTACCTTCCTGAGCCATTTCTATAGCCCACTTTCCACCTTCTGTGTTGAGACAGTGTCTTCTCAAGCTACTCAGGCTAGCCTTGAACTCGCAAAATTCTTTCCTCAGCTTCCTAAGTAGCTGTGCTAAAAGGCCCCCTCACCAGACCTTACCTGTCTCTTTCTTCACATTCAGTGACAGCGCAGACCCTGTTGTTATCTGCGTTTGTGATCCAGGCAGCTGGTCAAGCTTCCCATGCTAGCATCCAGCCCGAGGCTAACAGGTGACATGTCACAGTCACCCGTATCTCAATCGAGGGGCAGCAGAACAGCATTTTCCAAACGGTAAAATTCCATGCCAGACACTCACATCACACAAGTAAGGGGGTGTGCTCCTGTCAACCCATTTCACAGTTGAAGAAACTGAGGCTCACACAGGGAATGTGATTCATCCAGCTCTCAAGATAGGAGCTGCCTCTTGCTCTCACTCCTACCCCAGTGTTCCTGTGTGTCTCGGTCTCCCCTTTCAGTTCCCTTCCCAAACAACTGGCCTGACTCATTCTCCCCTGAACTTACCACAGACAGT